GAACATGTCAGAACTCGGGTACTAAAGAATGAAAAGGTCTGCACAATAAAAAGCCCATGCATGGCCATGTTGGTGAATGGCCAAAGTAGAGCAGAACTGGGGGGGCTCTGAAGCGAAGGCAGCAGAGGAACCAGTGATTGATGTAATTCTTGAATTCTCTAACGATGACAGCACAGATTGGGAGCAAGGGAAAGTCATTGCTCTGGTGCTCAAGGCCCTGAGGACGATGGGAGAACAAACAGAAGACTGTGAGACGGAAGTGATGAGGATGGAGATGGTGTTAATGGGATGATGAATTGGGCTTCTAAAGAGCCGGGGGAAGGAAATCAACAAAGAAATGGGTATGAGTTAGATAAAAATGAGGGAGGAGAAACTGTAATAGGGTTGAGACTAGAGATAAGTAAAGTTGGAGGTAACCTGGATACTAGTAGGTCACCACGGGGGTGGGGTGGCATTTCACTCCAAGGGGAGGATGTAGAACTTACCCAAAGTTGACATCCTAATGCAGAACCTCAAAACATTTTTCTTTATTCAGTGGGCTGGCATTTTGGACTTTTTGGGGCTTCAGTTAAAAAGTAGAAAAAGGGGATACTACTATCTTGAATATATAGATTTCCTCTCTATGAAACAAAAGAGAGTGTGGCTAGTACCAAAGCTATAAGAAAATTTATCACTAACATTTAAATTTATTTAAAAGACAACAGTTATCCTTCTGTGTCCTTTTATTAACTATTCAGTTTTCTAAAAGAAAATAAAATGTATCAAATTCATTTTTTATATAGTTCAATTAGTGGACATTCTATTTCATTTTCATCTGAGTTTTGATTACAAGATTTATTAAAACAACCACATAACTCCTACAACCTCTCTTATGAATGGAAGGTAGTTCTGGCAATGATAGGGAGATATGATATGATTCTTTATGAGATTCTCTTCACGTTCTGTTTCAGTAACAAACATTAGCAACTACTTTACCCAAGTAGCCACAGAAATATTTTCTCATGCCCTGAATTTAAATATTCTATTATATTCTCTTGAGCCATCAGGGACTCTTGCTTTTTCCATCCATAAAAAGCTTATGCTAATCTTGCCTATTTTCTTTTACATTTTAGGTTCTAAGCAAGGCCAACAATAATTAATATAAACTAAAAATGCTGGCATGGAAAGCTGTTCCTCATCAATCCGTCACAGTGTAAATGTGCTGCACAGAATCATAATAGATTAGTTTAGAATTCCAGTGAAATGGTCTTGAAAGAGGCCAAATATATTTGGATAACACTCAGCGAAGTCTGCCATGAACAGGTCTAAAGCTCTCTGTCATATAATTCTAAGAATTCAAATGAAATTTGCCCTTAGTGCTATAAGACTTCTGAGATGGTCTGACAGAATCACATCTTATTTAGACCTTCTGGCCTGGACAAGACTCACATTTCTCTCAAAGTCAAGGTCATTAATAAAGGTCTGTGCTGTCCAACACAGCCGCTGCTAACCACATATGGCTATTGATCTCTTGAAATATGACTACTCTGAGATGTCCTGTAAATGTAAAACATACGCTGGATTTCAGAGATTAATTATAAAAAAGAATGCACACTATCTCATTAATATTTTTACATGTTCGATTTTCAAATTATTTTTAATATTAATTACATGTTAAAATGATAATATTTTGGATACATTGGGGTTAAATAAAATATTTTATTAAAATTATTTTCACTTTTTTAATGTTTTGAAACATGGCTACCTGAAAATTTTAAATTACAGATTCTGGCTCTTGTGGCATTTCTGTGGGGAAGTGCTGCTCTAGGCTGCATCACAGTTTTGAGGTGAGCCACAAGAGGGCAGTCAAGTGTAGTGATGAAGGGCAAGGGTACTTGGTCAGACAGATAGATCTAGATAGATCTAGATAGTTCAATTCCATCTTCTATTCCTTCGCTAAGGGACCTTGGCACATTACTTCTCCAATCTAAACAGCTCTTATCTAAAGAGATAACTTGGGTTCTTATAATAAGCATTAAGTTCTAGATTACAAAAAAGGGCACAATTTTAAAAAGCTGCCTAAAGAGACATGAATAGGGTATTAATCTTCAATAAATAGTAAAATAGATCAAATCAAACCAAATTTAAAATATTCTTATCTTCTTTCAGCCTTTGACTCATTGCTACTTAGTAGCGCAAATATATTAAGGAAAGCAAAAGGGAAACTCTGAGTTACCTAAATGTTGATTAGCCCTGTTGTTTTCTGGGTTACCTCTTTCTGCTGCCGAGGGATATAATGTAAACAAACTTCACTGTTTTGTAAGAAAAACAGGAAGGACCTTTCTCTCAAAAGGCAATCACATGCCATTAAATTGATAAATATTAAGTAATTTTTGGAAATAAGAGCTATTTGGACAGCATGGGTAATGAAAAATAAGTGTCAGGAATCCAAAGGCAGAGATTCAATCTTAGGTCTGCCATAGCCTAGGCCAAGGTCACATGAGACCTCTGAACTTTGGTTTCCTCATCTGGAAAATGAGAATGAGAATAATAATACCCCTCACAATAGATTGTTTTAAAGATTAAGTTAAATAATGGATATAAAAACATTTATCTGTAAACTGAAAAGTATTACATAAATGTTAGCAATTATGAGTTTTCTTCTACTGGATTCGAAGAATAATGTACACAGATATGGCTACTTTGCTGTCTGGTGTAATGTGAGAGAGCAGAAGGTAAACATTGGTGGCTCTGTACAGGCACTTAATCTCCCAGGACCTTGGTTCCCTTTCTTTCTCTACCTACTTTAGTCGTTGGGAGGGCCTCATAAAAAAACCAAAGCACTCAGAAAACTACAGTCTTATACAAATGTAAAGCATTGTTGTTGGTTTGGATAATTATCAAGAGTTGACTTTACTGAAAAAGAGAGGGAAAAAAACCTACATTAGGTATCCAGGAGTCCCTCCTATCATGAAAAGTAGCCATTGCCATGCTCCAAAAAATATTTCCTTGTGTTTTTAACTCACATGTACTAATTCAGGATAGTAGTTAGTGGCAATCATATGTGAATTGAAAAAAGGTTAGAGTTCATTTCTGTTCAGGTTTTGGCAAGATGAAATTTAAAAGAATCTGTCATTGTTTTTAAGTAGAGCCACATCCACCACAATATATAATTGTAACTACAGGATATAGCATTCCTAACAACCATCGTTCCATATACAGGCCATTAAAGCTGGCTTTTTTCGAAAAAAAATGCTCATCTACATCTACACTGAAAAACTTTGACAGGATTTTATCCACATATTAAGTTATTCGGGCCCCAAGTTAGGACATATAGAGATGCAACAATGACTTTAAAAAAATTAGTCCTTAGAACTTCACATAAAGAAATAAGAGCTGATAAATTTGGTAGAGTAAAATAAAAGCACCCCTTTGACCTCTAACTAGTTATCTACAATAATTAAATTCATTTGCCCCACAACTTTTGATTTGTTCTTATTTTTAAAGAACCAAATGGCTTTCTGCCAATGTTTACTTCTTCATTCTTACTGTTTTTTTATCATTTTCAATTTTTATTAATTTCAACAAATTTGAAAAATTTAGTTTTTGCTGATTTACACTTTTATTTCTTCCATTTTAATTGTACTTTTCTCACATTTATTTATTTCTGTGAAGTATTCCCTTGATTTATCCCAGAATATGGATGAAACCATTAGGGGGATCATTTTATAAACTATGTAAATGTCTAACCAAAGTACTATATACTTGAAACTAATAATAATAAAAAAAGCCATTCCTAAACATAAAACTTCAAACTCAGGATGACACTTAATACAATGTTAGATTGTTCTGTGATTAACTTATCCCAATGCTTCTGTTCAAATGGAATTAGATAAAAACATGCATTAACACACACATTAGGAAAAAGGACTACTATCTATATGAATATGTAAAATTCAAGGAGTAAACAGGAAGGTGAAGAAGACAGATACATCATAATGAGTTACTGAGGCAATTAAGACAGTCCTGGTAGGGAGAGGATAAAAGAACAAAGAAAAATATTAGCCTTAAAGGTAACAAATGTGCTCTCTAGAAGTTTAGAGATATTCAGTACTGTGTGGATTGTCAGTATCCTAACAAGTACAGGTAAACATATCACAATTTGATTCCAACCACTTTCACCTTTTGATTTTCATTTCTAATGTTTTTCGACCTTTTTAAAAAAAGTTTAGAAGTTAAATTCCAGAACCACCAACATTTTCACTATTATTGCTGTTGCTATCATTGCCAGCACCATCACCAGCATGCCTAGACTTTATATTGATAAAAATACAAGATGCAAAAGTACCTCTTTGTTTTAGTCTTCAGTGACACTAATTGCACTATCAACCTTTCACAGGGCAGTGAGGGAAAAGCCAGCACCAGCGATTATGCCAGGGAGGTCTTCCTAAGAGCAAGAGTTACTCTAATCATTATTAATTCCAGGTATGCCTCACTTGGTTTCTTACCTAGAGTACAAACTGGGCATGCGTTGTGGTTATGTCATTTAGTTACACCTTTAGAGCAGATTGCTTTTACTAGACTGGAGCGTTCCCCAAGTATATTCATGATATACTTGGGAAAAAATTGACTTGAGAAATGCCGTATTCCATATTTGCCTCTTCAAGATTCACAGGGCATTTAGCACACAGAAATTCTTGCAATAAAGAAACTATCTTTAACTTAAGTCAGCATTTCCTAAGTTTATTTGACCATGTAATCCTTCCTTAGTCCCACCCCTCCCCAATCTATGAAGATCTCCTAGAACTAATACTTCCATAATGACACTCTGGAAAATACTCTTTTTGACTGATAAGGGGATAGAATTAATTCAAATGAATATTACATCCCTCCAAAGCTTGAAATCCCTAATTATTGCACTCTTGGAAGAGGAGACAACAGCACAACCAAGTAAGTGTTGAGAAAGAAAAGACTTCTTGAAATTATGAGACCACCTGATCGAAGGTACATGTTCTACTTACTTAAGGAGATTCCCAAGATTGAAAAGAGCCCGGTTGTGCTGTGGATTTAGCTGGAGAGCCCTCTGATAGTACATCTTTGCCTCTGCTGTGTTTCTTGTCAGTGTTCCAAGGTTGTTCAGGGCACTTGCATGGCGTGGATACAATCTGAAAAATTAGGAGTATTAAGCCATGATTGTTTAAAAACTTCTAAGTTGGGCATAACTTGCTTGTTCTCTACCCCTCTCCCCCAGCTATGCCACAACCAAAATGAAACACTAAATTCTTCCTTTATTTTAATGGTACTTCTATGTCAAATCTTTTTTTTTTTATCTAGTTTTATTGAGATATAATTTATATAACTTGTATGTCACTGAATAAGTTTAAGATATGCAACATAAAGATCTTACATACATACATTGTGAAATGCTTGCCACAAGAAGTTCAGTTAACACCCATCGTTCATATAGATTGAAAAATGTTTTTTTCCTGTGATAAGTACTCTTAGATCCACTTAATGACTCTCATATACACCATACACCAGTGGCAGCTATAGTCATCATGTGGTGTATCACATCCCTAGTATTTATTTATCTTATAACTGGAAGCTTGTAACTTTTGGCCACCTTTATCCAATGATTCAGCACTGGTAACCATAAATTTGATCTCTTTTTCTATGATTTTTTTCTTCTTCTTCTTTTTTTTTTTTTTTAGATTCAACACATCAGTGAAATCATACAGTATAGTTAAGGTCTCACTTAGTGTTGTCAGTAGGTTCTGTGACTTAAGTGAAACGAGTATAATGAAAGCAATTTTACCAAAGGTTAATTGCCATAAACAAGAGCAAAAGGACATTGAATAAAATGATCTTATTCGAGGGCCTGCAGTATTTGTCTTCCTCTGTCTGACTCATTTCATTTAGCAATGAAAGGCCTATCTACGTTGTCACAAATAGCAGGATTTCCTTCTTTTTTATGGCTAAATAATATTCCAGTGTATATATATACTTTTTTATACATGTCTTCTGTTTCTAGGTCTTGGCTTTGTAAATAACACGGCTATGAAAATGGGGCTGCAGATATCCCTTCAACATAATATTTTCATTTCCTTGAGATATAATCCGAGAATTGAAATTGCTGAATTATATGATAGCTCTATTTTTAACTTTTCTGAGGAACTTTCATACTGTTTCCCATAGTGGCTCCCCCAATTTACACTCCAACAGTACACAATGGTTCCCTTTTCTTTACATTCTCACCAACACTTGTTATTTCTTGTTTTTTGTTTTTTGTTTTTTAAGAATAGCCATTTGAATAGGTACAAGTTGATATTTCATCGTGGTTTTGATTTTCCATGATGATTAATGATGTCGAATATCTTTTCATGTACCTTTTGGCCATCTGTGTGTCTTCTTTGGAAAAATGTCTATTCAGATCCTCTGCCCATTTTTTAATTGGGTTTTTTTTTTGTTCTTGAGTTGTATGAATACTTTATATATTTTGGATATTAACTCCTTATCAGATATAGGACTTACAAATATTTTCTTCCATTCTGTAGGTTTCTTTTTCCTTTTATCAATGGTTTCCTTTGTTGTGCAGAAATTTTTTGGTTTGGTATAGTCCCACTTATTTATTTTTGCTTGTTACCTTTGCTTCTGGAGTCAGATCCAAAAAATCATCACTGAGAACACTGTTAATGAGCTTACGGCCTACATTTTCTTCTAGTTTTATGGTTTTTAGGTCTTATATTTTTTAATCCATTTTGAGTTAATTTCTGTATGTAGTATATGATAATAGTTCAGTCTCATTCTTTTGCATGTGGCTGTCCAATTTTCCCAACACCACTTATTGAATAGAAAGTCTTTTACTCATTAAATATTCTTGGCTCCTTCAGAGTAAATTAATTTACATATGTGTGTGGGTTTCTTTCTGGGATCTCTATTTTGTTCAATTGATCAATGTGCTTTTTTATAACAATACCATACTGTTTTGATTACTATAGCTTTGTAATATAGCATGAAATCAGGGAGCATGATACCTCCAGCTTTGTTCTTTCTTATGTCAAATCTTTGGTCAACTATTTTTGCAGCTGTACGCATATAAATAAGGCAAGAAAGCACATATTTGTCACTTAGTGGTATAAGTAATTCCCAAATAGTACAAAAATAAATAGCATATGAATCTATCAGGATTAAATAAATTTTAGTGCTTTGGACCCTATAATTACTTTCAATTTCCTTTGTTAGAAAATCCTCATTGCCTCAGGTACTGAGTTTCTGGCCTGGTGAGACTGCTGCTCAGCTGCTGCCTCTACAGTGCCCATTATTTTCACAAGATGCTGGGAGTTCCTTGGATGAGGGATCTTCGTAAACATACTTAGATGGGAGCATCAGTTAGGCCACTATTATTAAGAAAAAGATGATACATAATGTCTCCCCAGAAAAACAAACTTTATGTCTCAAATGGCTCTACAGCTTGACTCTCTTTTTTCTATTTTATCTGATCTCCCCCTCCTACCATAATTTAGTACCATTTAGTTTGTCAGAATGAAAATCTTGACAAACACTTAAAAATCGAAAATGAAATAATGCATGACAAAGTGAAAATATTGTTCCTAATGTTCAAAAATAAATGTAAAGGGCTGGATATCAGTAAATCAAATCTGTACCGATTCAAGAAGGAAGGGAATTGGTTTACTTCCTTAACTCAAAACTATAAAGAAGGCAGATCAGCACAACTACATAGTTTAGCTGCTCCTGCTACATTTAGAGTGAACATATTTAGGAATATAAGAGGTTCACTCCATCTCTGTCACCCAGAGTACTTTGAATAAGCCTGTGGAACTGGCTTTTAAGGCAGAAGAGCCAAGATAATGCCCAAGTAATAAAAATAGAAATTGTGCTTGTCAAGTTTCTTGACAACAAAATGCCATGCTCCCTCCTCCTATTCTGTACCTTCAAAGAAAATCAGTTTCATTTGGGGACAGAAGGAGTTGCTATTAAAAGACTGAAAAGACAAGTTGCATAACTTTTTGTTTTAAATCTTTGCTTAACCCAGAGTTTCCTAAGTTTATTTGACCATGTAATCT